CATTGGGGGGGGGACGAGACAGGTTTTAGGGTTATTGTGTGTAAATGATGATATTTTCTAAACAGATTGACTAAATTCAGTAACTTTTTTTCATCAAACAGTACCTTGTGAAATTGGCTTTCCAGTCATTATTATATTGGGTGCTGCATATTTTTTTAAATATGAAATATAATGTTTTGGGGTTTGGTTCCGCATTTTTTTTTACTCACCCTGTAACATTATTAAAAACAATAATTCAGTATTAAACATAAGAAGTGCAAACACTTACCAGACTCAGCAGTGTTGAAGAATTCCTTGAGTAGCTGCGACGTTGAACCACATCAGCTTTATCAGCCTGCCATGCATGATAGCGTCCGAGGGTTACAGGAAAATTGATGAACGGATGCCCGTGAAAACCCTATAGCTAGCAAAGGCAAAACGATCAAACGGTCTTTTTAAAAGGTGTAGTTTAAACAATTTTTAACAATGTTCATTGCTTCCTTATTCAAGGCCACTATCCTGTATCACTTCTCCAATAAAGGGCCATACAGAAGGTTAACACCTTGAGGCCATTTCTTTTTACAATTAGCATGTTGTTTACAAGGAAGAAAGTGAGCATTATCATGTCTAAAAAAACATCGGAAAGTCGAAAGACGCCAGTATACAAATATAACAATTAACATGTTTAATTTGAGGCTGGACAGTCGATATTAGCTTCAACAAGTTTTGGAAGTTGATAAAATAGTTCCTAAGGCGAAATTAAAGGGGCACTGCGTCCTGAAAACCACGAAATTTGCATGTTTCTGGTTCTGGTTGAGTCAGTAAAATTCACTCAGGAATATCACACTAACTTCTGACCTTATGTGTAGATGACCTTAGTAAATAGCCTTACATGTAATTGTCCATGTAGTGCTTGGATGCCCTATCCTTGAATGCAAGTAGTGTCCTAGAGTTGACGACGTTTGCTGGCAACTTCTTCCATCCTGTAATTGTTCTCGGGAAGAAAGAGTTCCAGTAGGCTTCCTTGATTGCATGTCGTTTGTAGGATTTTTGTTGGTGCCCCCTGGTATTCCTTGTGTTTCAGTTGAGGTGATCTGCTCGTGAGATGTAAACCAGCTCATGATTGATTTTGTAGAGCACTGATAGCCTTTGTATCTTCCTTTGCTCTTCCATGTCTCCCCACTTGATGTGCTCCAGGATTCCAGTGACTGTTCCCTCTTCCTATACTCTAATTTTTTTGTGCAGAATCTTGTTGCATATTTTTGGACTCTGTCTAGTGTTACGGTATATTACACTCAGTGTGTGTCCCACACAGTCACTGCATACTCCAAAGATAGGGTATGCCATGGATTTCACTTCTTCTGGGCAGCTCCACATATTCCGCCTGATGACTCCGAGAAATTTCTGGGTTTTGGCTGCAGCAAGCTGTGTTCGATGTGAGTTACTCCCCACAAAAGGTGTAGGATCTCTTTGGAGGATTCCGGTAAGCAAATGTGATAGTACAGCACTTCGATGGATTGAAGTTCATGAGCCATTCATTCTGCCATGATTCGAGCAACTTGAAATTGTTTTGTAGAGTTGAAGTGTCCTTGTCAGGTGATATTTGTTGGTATACTAGGCAATCGTCAGCGAATAGTCTCACTTGTGAAGTCAACTTGCTCGGCAGGTAAAGTCAGCAGTAGTGGTCCGAGCACTGCTCCTTGCGGAACTCTTGATGTGGCAGAAGTCCGAGAGCCCATTGAGGTTTAATTAGAATATCGCGCACAAAAGGTTTGATGGTGGCAGCGAGTAGGTGGGGTGTCCAACCGTCAAAACCGTCACTCTTAAGTGACACACCCCGTGCGTTTCGGAGGGGGCACCACCTAAAGACCCCCCCCCCCCAAAAAAAATGACTTTTAATTAGAATATCGCGCACAAGCACGGTTCCAAAGCGAAAAGATAGTTTTCGAATAATTTAATATGCCGAAAAGGACTCGCATCAAACTGGGGAGAAAATCCAAATGGCCCTTAGGATCCCCGGCATACTAAAGTGTTCGCCATATCATACATCCTAAATCCTTTGCTTGCTTTCAGGCCTTCTTCGTAATGTAACTCTCTTTAATAATTCAGGCTCCGCCATGAGTGAGTCTGCTTTACAGTCCATTCATGTATCAGGTAGGCTTTGATACATCGTCAAAAAATCTAAATACCATGAGAATTGACTAACTGGGCCATATTAACGCGGACATTTATTTCTTAATAACGTGATAGGTTGCATTATTGCGTAATTCGCAAAATCATGACTATCTCGAATATTTGGGCCGGCATAATATTAATGCATAATATCGTAAATTACACTATGTTACATTGCAGTGGTTTTTCAATGCAGTACGTGGGTAGCGATGCTTTGGTGTGCATTGCGTAATACTTCTTAAGCCGTGCAGAAATCGGCAATTAACTTGCCGTTCTTAAGTGAATTTTGCACGGATTTTTTTATTCGTAAGTTGAAATTTTGCAAAAGCAGACTCATTCATGACTGTTTGGTGTTGGAATGATCGTTCTAATGAACTTAGACATAAAAAAAAAAGTTTAGGCGGTGTCCCCTCCCAGACGCACGGGTATGGCACTTAAGAATTGCGGTTTTGAAGGTTGGACACCCCACTTACTCGCTGCCGCCATTAAACCTTTTGTGAGAGACCTCCATGGGCTCTCGGATTGGGCTCAAGAGGATAACACAGAAACGGCCACTATTAAGAGCAGGAATTTGAAATCCCCTAACAGACGCAAAATGCTTTGAATGTTGTAATTCCAGGCCATTATAGCAAAAGGGATTTGATTTCGCATCAACGCTGTTTCTTTCAACGGCCTCATAATGTACAATCTCCGTAAAAGGGGGATGCAGAACAATGACTGAAGTGTATAATGCCAACCTTTGGAAATTGCCCAACTATAGGCCTATTGGATTGAAAAAAAAACTATTGCCTGTTGCAGCCGATTTTGTTGTTTGTTTACGCCATTTGCCCCTTACTGTTTAAAAATATGGCCAACTCCCAGCAATGGCGAAATTCTCGAATTATTTCATTTTCACTTGGGTGAGCAGCTCTATGGGTGAGCTGGCCAAATGCAGAAAAGAAAAGAAAAGGTGAAATTATCGGAATTGTTCTTTTGCCGGAGCAGCCCCCCACTTGTTAGCGTCATGACCCGTCCCTAAAAGGGTCAGACAAAATGGCATTAAATGGTTTTGAACTTGTTGAAGTACCGCCTAGGCTATGTGTGTTGGGAGAGAGTGTACCCAAAAATGCATATAGAGTCCGCCCCACTAGAGCACATAGGAAAAGGCGCGCAGTGACGGTTGTTGCAACTATAGGCTTAGTACTAGTACTTTTTTTCCAGTCGTCAGAGAGCATTGCCATAAAAAAAATTTGATATTTACCCAACTGCATGAAGACCATGATTTTGGAAATTTCGGAGTTGTGAAGTGAAGCTTGAGGAAACTGAAGATCGGGAGCCTGCGTCTCCATCTTGTCTCTCAACATTTCTGACATCTTCATGATTTCCTTCCGACGCGGATACAGCCAAAGGTGTTGTATTTACACCGAAGCGGCGGGTAAGAAATTTGAGAGCGCCTGCCACGTGCTTCTGGAAAAGATGTAAACGAGCCGACCGTCGCATCAGCAGGGCTGCACCACCATTCCTTGCAATTGGCATAAAATAATCATATGGCCATTGCAAATTGACATGAATTGGATATTTGTACATTCCACACGCACAAAGATGGAAATGTGGTCCACATTGTAATGTTTTGTAAAAGTGGATACACACAACAAAACGTATGAACCGCGGCCCGCTGGTCCTGTCAAAAGCGCCTTTGAAACCTTAAATAACTTGGGGCGCCTCGGCCTCACGCGGATAGAGCGCCCCCAAGAGTCTCTATTTCTTCCTGAAGAGGGCGCCCTACGCAAACACTGGTCGGGTCAGCACCGTAAAGTTCCGTCATCAATGCGGATCAAAATCTGCCCATCAAGCAAAAATACAACTCTCTTTGTTGAGACAATAACTCAAGAACAACATATTGCATTGAATTGAAATTGCGTCCGATTATTGACCATGCAATTTGACACAACCAGTTTGAAAATGGACGTAAACCGTGGAAGAATACATTTAATACTAAAGAAAATAGGCCTGAGCGGTTTTAATCATGAAATATTCATTCCGAATAAAATAACTTAAGAACAACATATCGCATCGGATTGAAATTGCGTCCGGTTATTGATCATGGAATTTGACCCTACCAGTTCGAAAATTGACGTGAACCTTGTAAGAATACATTTAAATATTGGGTGCTTGAGTATTGATCGGTGCTCCTCTGACTTCCCAAAGAATTTCTGCGTTGTTTGGAGAAAAGTCAATTTTTGGCCAATTTCGATGAAAAATGTAAGGCTTACCCCTTGAATTTTTTTCGATTTTGACCCAAAAAATGGAATTCCTTGAAACATGCTAGAAAGATGCCTAGGGGACCCTAGAACATATTCCAATTCCATTTGTAGAAAGATATGCTTTTCAAAAGAAAATGTGGACCAAAATATAGGGTAAAATCAGTCAAAAATGTTAATTGATTTCTCACAAAATCGATGGTTTTTACCCAAATTTTCAACATATTCGGTGCCTGAGTATTGATTGGTGCTCCTCTGACTTCCAAAAGAAATTCTGCATTGTTTGGAGAAAAGTCAATTTTTGGCCAATTTCGATGAAAAATGTAAGGCTTACCCCTTGAATTTTTTTCAATTTTGACCAAAAAATGGAATTCCTTGAAACTTGATAGAAAGATGCCTAAGGGACCCTAGAACACATTCCATTTCCAACGAATTTGTCGACCCGCAGCTTCAGAGACATTTCAGAGACATTTTCGAGCTCATAACGGCCCTTCCCAATAATAGGTCACAGTTAAACTGGACTGTTTTTCAGAGCAAAGGCCTTGCTGAGATCTTCCAAAACCATTTCGAGGTCCAAAAATCTCTGAAAAAAATTGTAGCAAAGAAAACTTAACACACAATAATTCATGAGCTTTTTTGTCCATGAAAGTTTTATTTACATGCTTAAATCTTGTGATTCATGTACTCCTTTCACTTTATTTAAAAGAGGAGGAAATGTTTTTGGAAACGAACCACAAACAATTTAAGGAAAAAAAACAACTGACCTCTAGCAAAAATACTGTTTGCATTTTTGGATTTAAAAATCTTTAAATGTGCTGTTTTTTTTAAATGTGTGTCATTTGGCAATAATTAATAACTGGGATATTATTGAGGTTAGGGGAGAATGTAACATTAAGAAAGCAGTAACTTGAGGTCAAACCTGGAGGTTTACCTAGAGGTTGAGGTAAACCTCCAGGTATAACTTGATGTAAATTTTGAGGTAAACCTAGAGGTAAACTTTAAGGTAAACTTTGAGGTAAACCTCAAGGTAAACTTCGAGGTAAACTTTGAGGTAAACCTCGAGGTACACATTGAGGTGAACCTCAACTTACCTCCTGTTCAATTTTGCATTATACCCTTAATAAAAGAAACAGTCAAAGGATTGTCCAAAAGTAGTACATTGGAAAAGTCTTCAAGGTCGAACCCTGAGGTATCCAGTAAAACCTCAAGGTAAACGTCAGGTTACCAGGTATTTTCCCCTAATAACAAATGCGCAGTCTAAGGATTGTCCTTAAGAAGAACATTGGAAAAGTCTATAAAAAAATACAAATATTTCATTCCTTTAAGGACCAATAAGTCTTGTCCTTTATCTTGGTCTGTTTTGGGTCCAGTTTTCTCAGGATTTCCGCCAGTCGTTTGACCATGACGTCCGGCTGCAGACCGATCTTCTTGGATTTGAGTTTGTAGAGTAAATCTTTGGTTGTCATGGGTTTCCTCATCAGGTAGCGCCTTACGATGTCCTCCGTCAGCCCCACGGCCTCCCTGTTTCGCAAGACAATGAGAAAAATGAGAAAGAGCAGGGTCTGAACCTGCGACCCATCAAATACTATACTAGTGTTGGCAGTCTGCCAGGGACAGACAGAAAGACAGCCCGCCTGACAGACAGACCGACCAACTGACGACCAACTGACCACCAAGCTCCTGCTAGAGCTTAAAAAAAAACAAGCTGTATCATATCTCCCTATTGTTAAAACAAACTGACACGAGACAAAATTGACTTACTTCCCCGGTGTCCTGCCTCTTGACTGATCTCCTTCTGTCTTGACTCTCTTTGATGAAGACCCTTCCTCGGTACCCGGCCTTTTCAACGACACTGAATGAAAGACATTGATCAAAGTTACCAGAAACAAATGAAACCAACAGGCAACAGCTATTTAAATTAAAATCTGGATCTGAGATTGTTCATTATATATAATAAAATTGGTTCCGTGCTTTAATTATTTGGCCCACTAATAAGGAAATAAATGTGTGCTTGGCCGTTTTAAACACAATTTTTAGGACCGGTTGGCGTCTGGATGCTGATAATTATCAGAGTACATACAGCACTAAGTGTAAACACTAAATATCAGAAGTTGTACCCTTAACAAAAACAATTCAGGATTTGGGTTTTTTTTCTTCATGGGGGAAGGAGGCGGGGGGGGGGGGGGGGGGGGGATTTGTGGCTCTGCTTCTGTTCCTAGTTGTGCCCATCCCATCCCACCCAACCCACAACAAAAATGTTCTTACACCACTGTTTACGAGCAACTGTTGTGTGAAATTTGGACTCTATGAAATACTGACTCATCGGTTGTATTGCGCATGTCTTAACCCTAACCCTGCCAGACGCAAAACAGTGCATCAGGTGAAAAAGTTTGGTGCACTTTGATGCATTCAGCTACCAACACCAGTGCATAAACAGCCAGTACTGAGACAATGAGAGCTAGTCCCATTGAACAATGCTACAGTTGTATCCTGCTGCATTCCAGGACCACAGACTCTGAGGCAGTTTGGCCCCGTCGGAACGGGAAGAATCCTTTTGATCTCCTCCCTTAAGACTTTTGGCCTGATGGATCTTGCTACACTGGGCAAGTGTTGCATGTGGCTGTGTTTGGAAGGGTTTCTAGCCAAAATACCCTGGATGGTTAGGGTTAATGAACATAATTAGGACAGAGACAGGTCACGTGCGAGGGTTGGAGTCCAGAAGAGACCAGAGTTCATAGGAGTCCAAATTTCATATGACAGTGGTACTGACCTCTCTCTTGCTGCAGCTTGGTTGCAGCGTCAGACAGCGTGCATGCCGTGGTCGGGCTGTTAGCGTTGGGGTTCTGGGTGGGTGTCTCTGGCCTGCTGGTATTCCTGCTACCACTCTTTGGCGGCATCTTCTGGCTGGGAGGGGTGGCCGGCCGCTTACTGGGCTTCTTCTGCTGATACGTAACAACAGAAATAATAATAATAATAAAAATAATAATAATTTGGGGGCTAATTGTCCTTATTCGCACCTGAGAAGCTGAATTGTCATTGAGCAGTTGGAGTTCTGGAAAGGCAACAATTTTCAGAACCAGTCGTGGAGTGGCAGTCTCTCGGCCACACTAGGAGGAGCAATGTCAGGAGGAGCGATGTTGCTCAAGACTGGGAGCCAGTCAGTTCTTGTGCTTTGGACAGCACCAGCGATGGGCCTCATGGTGCTGTTCAGCTGGACATCAACAAGGCTGGTGTGTGCAGAGTTCCTCCACACCAGTGCACAGTACTCGGCCACTGAGTAACAGAGAGCCAGCCCTGATGTGCGCAGCATCTTTGCAGATGAGGGGCGGGAATACTTCAGCCAATGAAAACATCTTTTCATTTGCATACCAGTTTCCAATAGGTCTGGGAACTAGACAAGGTAAGGTAAGAAGCTCGCGGATGTCTGCGCTTACCTATAGGCTGGTCCCTCTCGGACAAGCACACAAACAAAGTTAAGTACTTACTTGCATCAACAAGGCTGACTGGATTTTGGTGTCGTCAATGTCGCTGTCATCCGAGTCGGAGCCACTTGAACTACTGGAGGCATCTGAGGTACAAAGTGAAGGCAAAAAGGAAGGTAAGATGTGTCAAACTTGCGACTGCATCCACAAAAGGAAGATACACTGTAGTTGAAAGAAACTATTCAAACTGGATGCCCCCGGCAAAACCTGGCTTCTTTCCAGGAATAAAATGCCTTCAACAAGTGCAAATAAAAACCAAAAAAAAACCGGTCACCATTTCAAAATGTTCTCTCAATCTGCTTTAGAATAGTTTCCATTCCAAAATGAAAGCAAAGTGAAGCCAAAAAATATTCTTTTTCAAGTCAGGAAGAGCCTTGTTTTGTCATGGGCCGTCAAACAAATTTGAAAAAAAAATTCAAACCAGTTTCCACAAGTTTAAGTTAAAATAAAAAAAATTTAAAAAATTCTTTTCTAACTCCTACCCCTCATTCAATTTCTCTAAACCCTTACCTTCCTTTTTGGCCGAATCTTCCTTCCCCTCCCCCCTCATCTTTAAGCTCCTCCCCCCTTCATTTTTAAGCTCCTCCCCTCATCTTTATCCCCCTGTTTTTTTTAACTTTTTCTCAACCCTCATCCTTTTTGGCTCAATCCTCATTCTCCTCCCCCTTTTCTTTAAGCTCCTCCCCTTCATCTTTTAGCTCCTCCCCCTCATTACATAGCTCCTCCCCTTCATCTTTTAGCTCCTCTCCCTTATCTTTTAGCTCCTCCCCCTTATCGTTTAGCTCCTCCTTTTTTCACTTTTTCTCAACTCACACCTTCTTTTTTGGCTGAATCTTCCTACAACTCACCTTCCTTTTTGGCTGATTCTTCCTTCCCGTCCACCTGATCTTTTGCTCCTCCCCTTCTTTCTCTTTCTCTTTCTCTTCCTCTTCTTCTTCTTCCTCATCTTCAATCTTCTGTAGCTCCTCGTCGAGCCCCTTGATGTCTATCTTCTTTTGCTCCTCCTCGTCATCGCTGAATGGACCAACGGGCAAAGAAGCAGGCCATTCAAATTTTAAAGAATTTGCATATCACTGAATATTCAGTGTTAACGTGAAAGCTCACATTCAGCAATCCACATTTTCATACTTTACATAAATTTACATATGCAAATAGCATGCATATCAGTTCAAAACTTTGAAATGTGATTTTGGTGAATGTTTTCACGTAATTGAAATAATTTCATTTTTGAGATTTGTCAATAATGTTTCACTTGGGTCAACCTCAAATGCTGTCCCAATTTCTTCGTTTTCAAGTTGCTAATTACAATGATTCTCACTATTGGTAGAATCCATCCCTAATATAATTGTCCCTAATATAGTCAGGTCCTCCATTTTCAAAATCATAAATTTATAGGTCTCATTTTCCAGATACCAGACTTAGAATTTTGTTTGGTTTGGGTCTAGCGCCCCACCTTCCACTGCCTTGCATTGCAGGGGTTAATCTTCCTGGCACCATGCCTAGAATCTTCTGCTGTGTGGTCTAGTTCCTTGCTTTAAAGGTCATATACTGCAGGGGTTAATTTTTACAGTACCATACCCGGAAAAGTCTGAGATGTAGTCTAGTTCCCTAACTTCAGGTCACACATTTCTGAGGTTGATTTTGATGCCACCATATTTGGAATCTTCTGCAAACTTAGTCTAGTTCCTCACACAGTGAAAGGGTTAGGTTTCAAGGCACCATACCTGGAATCTTCAGAGATGTAGTCTAGTTCCCTGCCTTCAAAGTCTCCTTCGTCACTCTCCTCTTCACCTTCGTCGTCGGATTCCTGCTTCTTTTTCTTCCTCTTCCTAGGTTTCTGCCCGCCCTTTGTCTTGGCCTTTGATTTGGCTGCTTGGACAAAAAAAGACATCCTTTATTTCAAAGACATGACCAATCATTTACTTCTCGTGCAACATTTCATTTCAAATAATAACACCACTCAGAGATGGAATACTTTCAATAATTTCAAAAAGCTAGTAACCTTTTTGATAATAATTTTGTATGTTACTTTTCAGATGACTGCAAATGATCCCATATATGCCTTTAACCAGTTCACATCGGATGACGTGTATACATGCCAAGGTTTTGCGGTATTTGGAACGGATGACTGATAAACACGCAACGAGCGAGGCCAGAAATATCTGTCAGCGAGGCCGGAAATATCAGGGTGTGCCACCCGCAGATGACAGCCTGAACCCGTCTGGCATCGAAGTTCGCGAAAAACAATGCCACGCCTTGGTCCGGTCATGTCAAAATAATCCCGGCGCGAACTGGTTAAACCTAACCCTCCAAGATGCAGCACCCTCAAAATAAAAAGTCTGTAGGACTTGGCTGCACTGAGCCATCAACACCATCGCATAAACCGCAACTTCTTAAACAATGAGAGCTATTCATACAGAATAAATGCCACAGTTGCATCCTGCTGCAATTGGTGACATTAAAATAGTTGGATTTTAACAGTATGGGCTCCGTGCGCCAACCAAAGAGGGCGCCCTTGTACCTAGCAATGACGTCCCATGGGCAGGACCATTGATCTCCATTAGTAAGACTTACTAAATGGAGATCAATGGGCAGGACACATACTTTTCGCTGGTTGACGCGTGCGCACCGTTCCTAGTGTGTGACGCACGTACACCAAGGGATTTGTACTATGCAGTCGCCGCGCTCCGCGGCAAAATATTGCAGTCAGGCAAGATGGCGTCAATCGGTCACCCCCAACTGTACTCTCTTTGCCAGTGAGGGGGTACTTGCGAACGGAATGGATAGGGACAATATAGGGTTAATCGATCTCAATGCAGAAGAGGTGCTCAAATTATAAGAAACTGTGCTAAACTGCTCAGTCTTGCGTCAAAGTGTTTATTGAATTGCTGAAAGTAAAATCTGGCTTCAGTGCTATCACAACAAAGTACAAGCCCTTTGATGCAGCATATTTTTTGTTCTTGTTTGCCATGGTTACAATACCTGCATCGTCATCCTCGTCGCTCATGTATGCATCACTCTCTTCCGATGTCATCAGGTCCTGATAATCATCATCCTCGGTAATTCTCTGACCAAATTAAAGTTTTAAATTGTTAAAATGATAAACCATTATTCTCCACTCACATATCCAACTACATGTTTGTCAAAATGTATTTTCTTATTTTTGGGAGCATTTTTAAAAGGGTTCATCGTAAATATATCTCTGCTAATTTTGTAACGGGCAGGTAAGTGCCGGGTTAATGACCAGGAATGTTTAGAGCTTGATGAAATTTCACTTATTGTGAAATTTTAGGTAAAACATTTCTTCTGGCAAGTCACTAGAGGTGAAAAATCAAGGTGCGCCACATTAAGTGCTGCCACGTTAGGGGACATCAACAATATTACCTGAGCACGAGCCCGGTTCCATCTAAAAATAAGTTCGAAGTTTGTTCGCCAAACGAGTCTTTGCTGTGATTATAACATTGCATCTATGAAAGGCCAAAGCCTTAATTCATAAATACCTAAGACATATTACTCATTCCTATTGGTCGAGAGCCTGTCAACCTGTTTTAAACGGTTGATAAAGACATGGCTGGCTGGTCTTAAACACTTTTCCAGTGTCACAAGAACTTATGAAATCCGGTGCCAGTTCCGTTATAATGCTTGAACGTTCACAATCCTCACGCAGACAGGTGCAATACTACCAGTGAGTCAGTATTTCATACTCCTAAATTCACACTACAATGCTACATCTGCGTTGTGCCCCACATCACGCAGTACGTGGGACGCGCACGTCAATCTCCATATAAGGAGTTGTTTACCAGAGGCCTTACCATTGCATAGCTAGAGGGGTGTTTTATTAATCAAAAATCATTACAAATTTATAATTTTTGACCTTTTGGACCGAAAATTTTTCATTTTTTTAACCGAAAAGGTTCAGGTAATTATCATTATCCAGACTCCAACCAGTCTTAAACAGAGTATTTAACACCTCGCAAGCACACATTTATTCTCTTTAATATTAAAATCTCACCAGACCAGCGGTCCGCTTGGAAGTCTTGGCCTTCGCTTTCATCTCTTCCTCGTCTTCCTTGCTCAGTGTCTCCCCCACGCTCTCCTTCAATCGCTTCTTGACCATCAAGGAGAAGAAATTGAACGTCCGGTCCCTCCTAAATGATTCAAGCATTCAAAAACCCTCCTATGGTTTGATCATTCATAGACGGTCAACAAGTTCTTCCACTTCCCCTGCTATGTATTTGTTAAAATTGTGCAGCAGCAGGATTCCAGTCAAAATAGTGAGTTTGCCATCTTACATTTAAAAAAAAAACTTTTTCATTTTGCCGACGCGCATGGCTACGGCGAGTCGGCGACGCGCGCGCATACCAGAAACCGGAGACTTTTTGGGGGGGGGCCTAAGAGTCTGTTTCAGTAGCCCGGCTGGGTAGTGAAAAATAAAGTCAAGGTCGAACCCTGCAACATCACTGGTATTTTAGCACCCACCTCCCAAATTCTTCCTCCGCCTCTTCCGCGTTCAGCGTCTTGTGTTTCGCCACGGAGGAGAAACTGTACCAGGCCTCGACAGGATAGGCCTCGAAGGATCCGTCTGCTAGCTGCTTAAAGACGTAGTAACTGGAGTTCTCACTGATTAGACCTTCCTTCTTACCCTTGTACCTAGAAAAATAAGTATCCACAAAAGAATTTGGTATTTAAGTTTCCCTTGTTTTTTTTTTCACAGAAGACTGAGCATTTCTCACTGAACTTGTGAGACTATGGGGTTCGGTATAGCAATGGGACCCAATTGCATGGCACCACAAGACGGAGAACAATTATTCAGTTATTCGATTATTTACTATTTGAATAATTTATTGTAGTGTCAGTTAATGATATTTGTGAAAATGAAGGCTTTCTTTTTGAAGGCCACATTACAATGAAGGGTACTGAAACAGAACATGAAAACAACTTGTAGCTGAGCACTTACTCGTGAAAAGTGTAAGATCCACTATGCTGATACTTCAACAGGTTCAGTTTTCAACATTCCTCTTTAGATTTTGAGTGGTGTTATTATTGGAAACAAACAAAATTCATGAAAAGCAAATCGTCCTACATGCCTTTAGCCCTAACCTTCCCAAATCCTCTTTGCGAAATGGAGGATTTTGCAGGATTGAGGCTAAGTAGGAAAAATGTGTGGCTGATTTTGCAGGATGCACTGTGTCAAGGTCTTCGGCCGGATCATGTGTTGTTTATGCTCAGCCGTGCATAAATTTAGGCCTGGATTATACTTGAAATCCTCCGGACTGCTCCAGGATGTCACTGACTCTGCCTCAACATATTGACAGTGATTGCTGGAGGATTTTGCAGGATTGAGGCAGTGGTCACCCCTCCGAGGACCACAGTCAAGAAACAAGGGAGGATTTTGCAGGATTGAGGCGGTATACATAATTTTTACATGGAGGCAGTTGGAGGATTTTCCAGGATTGAGGTTAGTCTATGTAACAGATCACGGTGAATGCTGTGGTCTATGATATGTGAGCAGATTCGCTGATTTAATAAGGCAAGACAACCACCTCTTGACCTCTAGATTTTTACCAATCCGCGGGCGCTTTCTATATCGGGTCTTCGGTCATTTAACAGTTGTGCATTGTAGACAATGGATAAAAAAAAACCTGTGTTGCACGCTCTGTATCATGTTACGCGCATATGCCCCCGGCTGTTGTTGCATTACAAAACACTGCATTCGAATTGACCAATCAAACCATTTATTCCTGATTAGGGAATGAAATGACGTCACGATTTAGTAAAGTTGACTCCGATTGGCTTGCGTGAGGCTTGCATATATCTGCACGTTATACAGGAGACTATTGGCTCCGTGGATAACGGGTGATACTCAGACTAGATTGGGGTTGCATCCTAGCAAAAATACCTAGGGAGTTGGGGTTTATGTCTAGTACCACATAATTATTCTTTTGGTCCAAGTTACTCACTTCTTCCCCGGAGCACCGATCTGTTTGAGTATCCACGGCTGGTCCTCCTCTTTGTACTTCTTGGCCCGGATGCCGTATTTCTTCCGTCTTGCTTCCTCCCGCCTCTCCCGGCCAAACTCGCTGCCGGCTCCGGACGTCGGCATGTCCGGATTCAGCATCTTGAACTCCTTCAGGTTGTTCTCCCGTTCCATCTTGGCCTGTCGACCAAACAGCCACAACTTTTGAACACACTTGGACATGCTCAGCATTCCTTTATAGCGCCTTAAGGTAAGAGGTCACGCGGCAAGCTTCTGGACCCTCGCGCGGCCCATCTATGAGCATTTTATGAGCATGGATAGCCCTTTCACCTTCTATAAATTTTTTTGCAGAATGATTTATAACTGTAACACCCCAAGAAACACTCGTGTTGGTATTTAATCTTGGTATTCTTCAAGTAAAATTGAGGAAAAATCACTTGGGGAAGGGCAAAAACCAAATTTCATTTACGACCTTTTATATCCGAAATTGTCGTTCTTAGGTCTCCTTGTTTGTGCACATTTGTTTTCATATCGTCTACTCGTCACAATGCAGTGTGCCACCACAAGTTTGCCAAGGAGAGTCCATTTTTCGAGTTTACGGTCGACAAAACGTGGCCCATTTGAACGAGTGTCAGCAGACCACTTGAGCTAATTTGTTGTAGATTTGGGCATAGCGTTCTGCCGCCTTTACAAAACTGAAACATCTTATTTATTAAAAGAAAAGAAAAGCGCAAACGTATACTCGAATTAAACGCTTAAGAGACTACTGGCCGGAAAAGCTAATAATCTCAAATGTCCCGCATTGCGATTTTGTCGACCGTCTCCCACAATGCGCTGGTGGTGCACTGCATTGTGAATCGCCCGAATTGCAGGATTTCCAGGACTGTGGAAACCCTTCCAAAACTACAGCTGTGACATTAACTATCTACCTGTTTCCATTTGGACAAGTCCACATTGTCTCCTCGGTTGAACTGCATGATGCTGTACTTTCTTGTTGAATTACTAAGGAAAAAAAAGTATTATTTTAATACAAACAAGAGATAAATGGGAGGAAAAATCTAAATTTACAGCTAACCCTCAATACAGAAAAGAATACACATGGTATGACCATTGTTATTTACAGGTAATAGATTAGGAAAAAAAAAAAAAGTCTCCGGTTTCTGGTATGCGCGCGCATCGCCGTAGCCATGCGCGTCGGCAAAATTAAAAAGTTTTTTTCAATGTGAGATGATGTCTCAAGTCCGCCAAACTCACTGAATTGACTGGAATCCTGCTGCTGCACAATTTTCACGTGTTTTTAGATAGGATTACGATCGAGTATAAGCTTTATGTGGCCTCTCTGGGCTCCCATACATTTTGCACTAAATTTAGTCAGGCACCATTTGCAGTCATCAGCCGACATTTGAAGAAAAAAAAGTTAAAAAAAAAAAAAAAGCTGCGTCGCGGCACCACTTTTGTGGCAAGCTCCATACCAGAAACCGAAGACTTTTTTTTAGCCTTATGGGAGATGGTCTATTTTACAGCAAAAAGTAGACTTTGATTCAGTTGTTCTGGTTTTGGTTACCAAACTATAAATCTTTCTCAACAAAAAAAATGATTGCCATCTTTTCCTGCACCTGTCTGGCTAGTCACCACATTGGTCTTAAATACACAATTTTCCTCCAACTCCCAAGACATTTAGCATGCATCACTATGCGGCTCACAATATGGAGCAGACTGTGACCTTGAGTTCGGAAAACATGCAAAACGAAACCAGGCCAACTTTACTCACTCTTTAACCAGCAAAATTCTGCAAAATTTTCATTGGGCAAAGAAAAGGTCCTCAGTATTTCACCAACCAAGTTTGAAATCTCAAAGACATTTCTTCAATATTTTGCACATGAGAGGGAAGTCATGTGATATCAACAATGAGGCTAAAGGCTAGACTGGTACATGTCCAACCATGGCCCAACTTTTTGAAAAGACTGACCTCTTCATTCATTGTCACTAGTCTGGTGTTGAACTATGGAGAACTGTGTAGAAATAGAGACAAGTACCAGACATGCCAAATGTTTCTTTGGACACAGTTGATTAATGCAGTACTGAAGCAGTGTTGGACTGGTTGTTTCAGGTGCCAGTCTATTTTCTTGTTTTGCATGTTTTCAAAATTTTCGGACTAAGTATGGAGATGTCTGGTTTTGAAGCACATTTATGGGGATACTCGTATCATTGGCTTAATCCTATCTCCCTAGGCCTTTTTGCTAGGATGTAGCCTCAATCCTGCAAAAACCTCCAATTGGCCTCATGGAAACAAAGCATAGCATCAATCCTGCAAACTCCATTATTTCTTGAATATGGTCTGTGGAGGGGCGACCACTGCCTGAATCCTGGAAAATCCTGCGGCAGTGACTGTCAATGTGTTGAGGCTTGGCCAGTGACATCCTGGAGCAGTGCGGAGGATTTCAAGCATAATCCAGACCTATATTTATGAATTGCTGAGTAAAAACAACACAAGGTCCGACCCAAGACCTTGACAAAGTGCATCCTACGAAATCAGTAACGCACTTTTGCCATGTATTCTCAATGCTCCAAATTCCTCCACTTTGGCAAAGAGGATTTTGAAGGATTCAGGGCGGTTAGGGTTAAACATTAAATCAAAGTTACCTTTTAAGTTTGACAGTGCAGTCCGCTGGTTCAGACGATCCCATGGCTGAAGTTGAGGGACGTGATGGACCTCTAAAATTCTAGAAGTTGATTATAAATATTAAGTTTTTTAAAATTGGCATTTAACACTCACCATAACAATTAGGAGTATTCGGATTCCATGCTCTGATTTAGACCCAGTATAGTGGTGTTCCCTAACGTGGCGCACTTCGACATTTACCCCGACTTTCCACATCAGTGTTGCCAAACTGCTTTGTTGACAAACTTCAAGTTCATTCAGTGAAATACTGGTACTTTTACCTTTTTAATGCTTGCTATTTAACCTCTGTGAACAATTTCGGTTTCATGAAATTTAATCCGAAATTCAACATCAGTGGCGTCCTGAAATTGGGCACGAATCGGCTGAGTGTTCCCTAACGTGGCGCACTTGAATAAATGATGGAAAATTCCAAATTAACATTTAAGAATTTCTGTAAAGTTGATAAATTCTGATAAACAATTATTATCTCTACTTACATACCCAACTAGAAGTTTTTTGTGAGAAAATGATTTTCTATTTTTTTTGGGGGGGGGACATTTTCAAAGGGTTCACTGTGCACTTCGAAATAAAATATAACTTTGTAACGGGTTGATAAACTTGTGATTTATGAACGGGAGTGTTTAGAACTTGATTCCGTGAAATTTCAGTTAAAACTTTTGTTCTAGCTAGGCGCTACATGCGAAAACTCAAAGTGCGCCACGTTAGGGGCTGTGCTACTCCTAGAACTATGATGCTCCTGAACTATGACACATCACCAATCTCCTTTTTAACATTTGCACAAAATCTGGCAATAGCCAGACCATATCCGAATGTTAACATGGTTTAAAAAGGCCTTAAGTTGGGTACAAGTTACTCAGACTATATTGCCCCAGTTATTACGGATTAACGTTACAAAAATTTACTTGCGTAATTAGGCCTACTTCCTTTTGCAATTGCTTTAGTTTAAACTTTAATTGATTTCTAAAATTTTAAAGCCAAGTCTGCCATAGTTCAGTTGTTTAGTTTTTGTGTTCCTTCCTCTGTGGTTTATGTTGAAATACCACTAAACTTCAAAGTCATCAAACCTATTTCTTTGTTATGATTTTGTAGTCTGGTTCTATGTCCCAACTGTGATTACCATGACAATCCGCTCATTGCAGTTCGGGAACACGACCTGAATTTTTGACGGGCGCTTTTCATTTTATAAAGTTTAATATCACCATGGAGAAATAAAACGAAGGTAATTTACGTATGAATATTGAATTCGATTGATCTACGATTTCAAAAATACACCGAATTATACCTGTGATTCAATACTCACACTTTTGAGAGCCATGATCTACATGTAAACTACGATTTATGAGTGTAGCTCGTCGATCCTGCATGTGTATGCGACATAAATACAGCTGACTCTGGTTATTGAGCGGTATGCGTTGTATACGTCTAGGTATAAGACGGCGATTCTGCGCGGCTTTATTAGACTAGTTCCCAGTCCCTCGTCGTTTCGCATTTACAGCCGTGTCACGGCGATACCGCCCTCTTTGTTGTCTGACGTGGTAATCTCCGGGGCATGTCAATACTGAGCAATACGTCCCATCATTAAGATGGGACGCAATTCTATTGAAATGCCTCCTGAGATTACAACGCGACAACAAAGATGGCGGAATACGTATTTTTTTGGCATACATCGAATTTTAACCAATCACATCACGCACCCTATGGCAAAGAATCACCCTGTACCTTCGGATGGAAGACACTCATGGTTCCCGCAGTTTCCCTTCAATTAAACTTTTCCCAACCAATATTCCATCGAAAAATGGAACATGGGTTCGAACCACAGATCTTGCGAGTATTATAGTTCATTCCACTATCCACTATAGCCATTACCAACACATTGTCGTAAAAGTTGGTATCTGAAAATGTCTGTGCAAAACCCCCTACACCGGGGGTTTGTGTAGAAAATATCAGACTGTTATTTATTACTCCCCATCACGTTCAATTAACTTCGGCAGCGACCGCAAGCCCCATTTGAAAGAAAAAGTTCAGACCGGCCGGATCAAGGTACCAACTTTTACGACAAAGTGCTGGTATTGGCCACTGTGGCAGCTCCACGAAAACCATTTTTTTTTTAAAATGTCCATGCATGACTAGGTGATGGCAATGGTGTGACGTCCTATACATGGGCGTCGCGAGGGGGGGGGGCAAGGGGGGCACTTGCCCCCCCCCCCCCTGGAAAAGCAAAAAAAAAAAAAAAAAAAAAAAAGAAAAAAAAAAAGAAAAGAAAAAAAAGAAAAAGAGGCGCGAAGACAAAGTGGTGTAAATTTAATGAGTTGGGGGGGGGGGGGGGGGGAATGTCCCTGCCCCCTCTAAAACTGATAAATCGAGAATGTGTTGAGAAATACAAGCATTTTTTGGCAAAAAAATTTTGCCCCCCTCTAGAAAAAATCCTGGCGACGCCCATGGTCCTATAGATACATGTAATTGTTAGTTTCTTACGAATAAATATCGAACTCAAAGTGCACATTGAAATTCAGGACTTATCCTTTTATATGGAACAGAAGTAGGTTTTGGGTATTTCTTAAAAGATGGCACCATAAACTGCCGCAAAGTTACCCGCGCTATAACACATCTCCTACCTGTTGATCACAAGCAGCAGAGAAAGTCTGTCCATCCTAAATCTGCAACCAGCTTGGGACATCTGACTAATTAAGTGACCAACTCAAACATTACTGGGAGCCGGACAACATTCTTGAGGGACGTCCATATCATTTTATAGAATTTTGCGATTTGTTGAGTATTTTGAAAACTAGTACATTTTGGATTGCAAGAAGCCTGATAATTCTTGATGACAAGATTGATTCCTTCTTCTTATTAGTCTGTAGTCTCATGTTTGTTGTGATTAACTTAGAAGTTGTATGCTTGTATGAAAAATTGTAAACAGAACGTTTTTTTTTAGAAAAGACATTAATAAAGTTATCGCCCAATCTTTTTTGGCACTCGAACTTCTTACAGTCAGCTGTCTTTGAAGGGTGGGGTGGATTTCGACCGCATTGCCCGATCGATGACTAATAATTGGGAAATTAAGTAGGGCTAATGTTGCGGAAATGACAAATCAATCAGATGAACCAGCAAAATAAGAAGGCACGCAATAACCATTGATGGTGACTTAAAAGCATAAGCAACATGAGAAAGTTCGTGAAGTCCGCGTAAACATTTCAACAACAGTTGGTCCCGACCCATCACTGGAGGTCTCCCAGAGCCGGCGCCGGCCAGCTGAAGGTTAATCCTGGTTATATCGTCTCTATTTTTTACTTGCACTTCGTCCTACTTTCTCTACACACTGCTTGTCGTGAACATTTGCTCCCGCATTTCACCCTCAGTGTGCACCGCTCCACTCATGACAATCCTCGGGGAACTATCTATTTCCTCAGAGGCCGTAGATTAATTTCATGCCATGAAGCAAAAGTGTGGCTGTGAAATCATGGAAGTAACTTAAGTGAACCACTGATCGAGTAGTATACGAGTTCAACCTGCGAATATTGGGAAACAATATTCAGTGGTTTATGGCAGTAGCGTGTCCAGCTTTGGATGTGGGGGGGGGGGGGGGGGGGGGGGGAGGAAACCGCACATCCACGCCGAAATAAAAGCGGGGGCTGGTACCCACCTTCCAAATGGGGCGCTCTTCAAGACTGACCATTAAGGTTAACATTATATACACGTATCCATTTTCACGGCGCATTGTAATGGTTTTGAGCGGGTTTTCTATTTTGGATTGATGTCAGAACTCTCTAAACATTTATTGAAATAATTGCTGCAACAAAAATTGTGGAAAAAAAATCAGCCGGGGGTGCCCCCCCCCCCCCTTACCGCTATTCGCTTTCCAAAGGACGTAAAAAAAAACAACAACTTGGAAAAAAATGGTGAAAAAATACGGACATAGTCGCGGAAAAAAAGGAACTTTAGGCCAAAAAAAAAAAATTCGGTCTCTGGTTAGACCAAAGTTCCGGAATTGACGCGGCGACGCGGCTTTTTTTTTTTTTGCTTTTTTTTTTTTTTCTTCAAGCTTGAATTGTACAGACAAGGTGGGGTACTATTTTGCTTTTTTGGTGTCCTCATGTACATTGTGTCCTCCCAATTTGCCTTGGTGCTCTCGATCATTTGCCTTGGTGCAATTTCCCATTCCTTGGTGCTCTTTGGTACAAAAAAATTGAGGAGGTGTGGCAATAGAGGGCGCTGTTGGAGCTACTGCGGAACATTTTGGGGAAAAAAGATTGACGCGCATGATTAAAATCGACGCGCGCGCTGACCAGAGGACCGATTATATTTTTTTGGCCTTATGTCCCTCCAGCTAATCATCCAGCTAACCCTCGATCCGTAGCTACGCCCCTGCTGCTGGGGCCTAAGGCATTCATGCCACGGTCACACTTCATGGCTCACAATAGCTCACGTACGCGTAACAGCTGACACCTAATATTATATATCACCCGTTCACGCATATTCACCACTATTATTACTACCAGTGGATTTTTCAAGACAGACCGCGTTCAACTTCCCACCGGCGCTGCAACAAACGTATAACTTGCGCTATGCATTACGAGGACATTTTGAACCACATTGGCCATTTTGGCAAATACCAAAAGTTGATTATTGTGCTGTTGTCCCTGATACAACTTCCAACGGCATGTCATTTCATAGGTCAGGTGTTTCTGGCGGCCAACGCCGATCATTGGTGCCTGGTCCCGGCCAGCCAGGCCGTCAACTGCAGCCTGCTCCAGCTGGACTCGGTGTCTGCCTGTCAGGAAGCACAGAAGGACCAGAGCATCCCGTACGAGTTGGACTCCCAGGGAAGTCAAGTTTACTCCTCGTGTGAGCGATACGTGTCCGATTATGAGGTAGACGGCGACCAAGGTACCAACTCGACGGATGTCATCGCTTGTGATGCTGGCTGGGATTTCGATCGATCTCGCTACAAATCCTCCATCACTGAAGAGGTATGGATATTTTTTAAATAACATAAGCCTTAGCAAACAGATCTTTACGTTTGGAAAAGTTTCCGGACGGATCATACACGGTTGTGCTTCATATTACATGGCTTTCTTTTGTATATTTATGTTGACGGGAAAAAGGGTCCCGTGCACCATTCTGACTTTCTTCCCCATAAACATGTATTTATGTGCATCCAATTTGGTCTCACTGAATGACTTAGCTTACTTTGTTTTTGTTTCTGATGTGTTTTGTGAATACCACACTATCGTTTCATATACCCTGTGCTCTTTAAAAAAAAAAAAAAAGCACATGATTTTTCCCTTCAGTGACCTATCAGCCATCAAGTGATAATGTGTCCTAAAAAGTCGAAATTAGCTGGGAAAATATTGAAGTACTTACTGAGAAAACACTTACAAATGTTCCGACCAGTCTCATAGGTGTGCACAAGGTGACAAGTGATGGCGAGATATGGGAATCTTTCCAAAGCGTTTTTAAGTCGAGAATTTCTTCTTTTTTTTTTTTTTTTGCTTCAACAGTTTAGCCTGGTCTGTGACCGGGAGGATTTTGCAGGCCTCGCCCAGTCAGTATGGTTTGCTGGTCTGCTGACCGGATCCTTGGTATGGGGTTCAGTGGGTGATTGGTAGGTATATTTGAAGAGAATAAAGGAGTAGGCCTACAATGGAATATAGATGCTTGGTGCGGCCAAAAAGGAATTGTATATAACGATTATAAGATTAAGTTTGATGAGATTTAAAGGTTTGCATGGTGGAAAGATACTAAGACAAGATAAATTTGCGGTAGCACCATGCGAAAAAATCTCTTTGTGGAGTATGTGTGGTTCTGAAAAGTCCCTCCGGTTCTTGTCTTAAGACAAGAACCCCCCCCCCCCCCCCCCCCCCCCCCCCCCCCCCAATAATTGTAATCCACCCATACTGGAATTGTATCCTTGTGGAGTCATTAAAGTTTGTTGTCGTGTACTAAAGTTTTCGAGTTTGAAAGTGTAGTTTCAAAATGCTCCTATTTTAACCAGAATTAATATCCTGGTCTGAAATCCGACTTGCCATATCCCTTACATAAAATACTTCAATTTGCGAGGGATCAACACACCTTGGAAATTCCTAGTTTTTGAGTAAAATCATTATTTCTATTTCGTGATAACCTTGCGGGGACGTATTCATCTATAGAAATTGCCCTGTGGAGACGTATTCAGTCTTTTGTTCCCTATTATACCCATTTCCCCCCTTAGGGTACCGTGTAACAGATCATTAGTCTCCAAACCACAGACAGAGTGTGAAATTTATTCCCATTAAGTTTCAGAACCTCACACGCTCACCAAGGACATATGCACGGAGCAACCCTAAACTAATAATCTTATACTTCCCCATTCAAACATTTGAGTCTCATTCGCTGGTATAAACACTGTGTAGCTATTGTATAACACAACCATATTCGAAATGACCTCGGAATTTTTTGCGTGAATTTATTGT